TCAACCAACCATTCACTGCTGAAGTCATTTTCTTAATGAAGAAGGTTATGCGCAGCAGAGAGAGACGAGCTGAGATGTTTCAGACCTAGGACGAACCAGTTTTCTCCATTGACAGCCCAGAAACGAAGAAAGAGAGGTCACGAACAGAAGAAGAAGAAGAAGAAGGAAAATGAAGGGACTGTCGAATCTGATGGGTTAACCCTATCAGTCGACCCCTTAATAGTAATTAGTCTTTAATTACTTGTACAAAGACTAAACTGCCCTTACTTAAGTGTGGGGCAGAGTGTCTCTAATAAAACTGCCACATAAGCATACTACTTAACAAAAACAAGTTGACTAAACTACCCTTATTCGGCTCACTCTAACATTTATCTTTCTTGCTTTCTTGATATTTCTTGCTTGAAAATTCCTCTTTCTTCAATTCTTTCTTGCCAAAACCTATTTTACTGCATATCATTCCATTCTTGTTTCACTTTGGCCTGAAAGAATAGCCTTAAAGAAAGAAAGAGAAACCACTAGGATAAATCACCTGACCCTAAAAGTATCACTAAGCTACCTTAATCCATGTAAGTTACCTTATGGTTGTTATTCGGTTTGTCTATTAGTTAGGACTAACTGCACAAGACCCAAATCATCCCTAGGGAAAATCAGCATGCCCTAGGAACTCCCCCAAGCCTTCCCCAAACGCCACAAGTAATCCTAAGAATTCCACCTCCTTTTCCATGCGCTACTAAGTGCTTCCTCTAGATATAAAAGATTTCTTCTCTAGTTTGGCAGCATAACATCTAGGATCACTGGACCTTTTTCAGTCTCTCATCATCCTATCATGATCCGTGAGCCTCCCTTAATAGCTGTCCCATGAGAGCTGGTCAACAAGGATAGTCCAACACCCTGTATCAATGATAAGAGTTCAACTTTTGATAATTCCACTGAGTCAGTCAGGTCCAAGCCTAAGTAAAAATATCACCATTTCCTAAAGGTCCTAGGTTTCCTAGGGAGCATCCATCAAAGTTGAATTTAATGAAGCTCAAACCAGGGGAGAGTGAGATCATCACTGTCTGATCGTAACATGTAAGAAGAGGAATTAATCATTGTGGTTAGAGTCACTTCCTGACCCGGGGCTGAAAAAGCAACTTCTCTCCATTTTCTTGACAGGTCATCCATTGACACACTGTTGAATATCTCCAAAGATTTAAGCCAATGTATAACCCTGATAAGAATTACCTCTTGAATGGCTTCCCTGCTCCTCTCCTTCCCAGAGAATATTCTGGAATTTCTTTCTTCCCAGGTGGTCCAAATAACGGCAGCCCTTACACAACGCCACATCACTCTTCCCCTTCTCTTTGGCAGACTGAAAAAAAGAAGGTTCAAACAAACTTTTCACATCTGATGGTGGGTTCCACCTGCATCCAAACAAAGAGGAAAACCATTCCCATAAACCTTTAACAAAAGTACAGGAGATTGATAAATGGTAGCAGTTCTCACCATCGACCTTATAAAGAAGGAACCAATAAGGGGACAAGCATCTCTTGGTCTTTTACTTTGAAGTAAATCACAGGTGTTGATTCTTTCCAAATATGATTCCCAACAAAAACTTCCAATCCTAGGTGGAATAAGTTTACTCCACACCTCTTTAACAGGGAAAGATGGACCCCCACTAGCTGCCGGAAGGGTTAGGATATTGAAGAAGGATGAGCAAGTAAACAAACCATGAGAAGTAGGGATCCAAAGATTTGTTGCTGAACCGACAACCACCAAACAAATAGATACTTTGGCAAGTTTCTAGAGCAGGACGCAGCCCTTAGTGAACCAAATATTATATAACCATAACATTTGTATGGCAACGAAATCAAAAATGGGATAAAGAATTTCACATCTTTCCTTAAATTGGACGAATAGCATGAAAGAACAGGAAGTTGATTAAACAAGTAGCAATGAAATTTAAAGCAAAAAGCATGCTATGTTAATTGAGAACAGCTTGTACGAGGAAATAGAATTTACTTCATTAAAATTAAATTAACTCACGAAATCAACAATATAAATAAATTCAAAGTCCTTAGGAAAAAAAATCAGGAAACTACTTCTATTGAACAGAATGCATAAAGGAATCATTTTCTTTTCATCTCCTCTGCTGATAAAAGAATGCCATTTTCAACAGTAACTTAAGCAACGCGTGCAAAGCATAGTAAGAAAATGCAGACCTGCAGTTTGATTGTGATACCTCTCTCTCTCTCCAAATCCATGTTATCTAAAAACTGCTCTTTCATCTCCCTCTTCTGTACAGTACCAGTCATCTGCAACAGCTTATCCGCCAAAGTTGACTTCCCATGATCAATATGCGCAATAATGCAGAAATTTCTAATATTTGAAACGGGCACCTGCTCGAAAGCATCCAAAATGTAAATCCCAACTCCACCTAAAAAAGACAATAAGAAGAAGACGACGACGACGACGACGAAGAAGAAGAAGAAGAAGAAATAGAAAACTCTCTTACGACAGGGTACCTTCAGCAGACGATCCTGACCGAATTCGGTGCCGAATTCGGCGTCGGAAACGCCTTTGGGTTGTGTTCCTGCAGTCTGGCAGGAAACGCCGAGCCTCCGCCGGCGAGTGGAGGTAGCCGAAGAAATGGAAGGCAGGGATAGACGAGTTTGGGAGGGAGAAAGAGCGGTGGATAATTTGAATTCAGTGCACCGGCGACGCTGCTGCGGAGTGTCTGTGGATAAGAAAAGTGTGAGCCGAGTGACGGCCGTGGCCATCTTGGAGCAGCAGTTGTTTTTTTTTTTTTCTTTTGAACACTCGGGCGTTTTGCTTGGCAGTTGGCGTCCTTATATTACGAAGCCTGGGTGACTGGGTCTGGGTGTGTGGCGCGAGCGTTTTGAGCCACAAAAAAGTGAGGGCAATTGAGCTGGGCCTTGCTATTGGGGCCCAGGCCAAATGGACTCCCATAACATTCTAGACTTCTAGGACACAAGAAACACAACTAAAATAGGAATCTACTCCGGTTAAGGCCTGTTTGTTTACTCTGAAGTCTGACATCTGAAAGTATAATAATTTTTGGCACCATCTTTCACCATTGCACCAAGCAATGGCACCTTATTTCTGTATAAAAGGGACAAAGTTAACAAAGAAATTGAATATGTATAGACCAATAACAAACTTTACATTAAGGGGGCGTTCTTTTTCAGGATTTTGAGAGGGGAGGAAGTTGGTCAATGGGATTTTGATTCCCATTGACCGAAAATCCTATGTTTTTTTTTCAAATTTATGTGGAGATCAGGGAAAGTTTATTTTCCTGGGTAAATAACTTTCCCACCTTGGGGAAAAGTTGCCAACACTTAAAAGGGACAAAAATACCTCTTGTAATAATGGATTTTTATGGATAAAATGGCCATTGCCTTATTTACATGGGAAATAAAAGAACATGGGTAAATACACTTACCAAGGTAATTGTTTCCAGGTAAATGCATTTACCCAGGTAAATAACCAAAATATGAACAGGGCCTAAGATCTAAGAAGGAGACTTTAGAATGAGACAATGATGAATTTTTCAAATCATTAAGAGAAGTTAACA